TTATTAGATATTATTACTGTTGTCATTGTAATTGTTAAAATTCAATGATAATTTAATTATTAAATAATTTAATAATCATTATTTAAAATAAAAAAATGTAATAACTGTAATATTTTATATTATTATTATTATTATTATTATATTATGTAAGTTTTATAAATAAAATATCATTATAAATAATATTAAATAGTAATAACAACAACATAAAGGACTTTATAAAGCACTTTTATCACAATACAAATTGAATGCTGTACATAGTGCATTGCAGGACTATATAAAAAAACAACAAATTACAAGTTTCCAAAACCTAAAGAATAAAAGTGTGTTTTCAGAGTAGATTTAAAAAATGTCCAATGAAGGAGCAGGCATCACAAAGCTTGGGCCCAGCCACAGAAAAGGCCCGATCTCCCTTTAATTTGTAGCGACATCGTGACAAATTGAATATTTATATAGAATGTTTAAAAGTCATTTTATTTCAATAATAAATAACTTTCCAGATTTAAGTATCAATGAGATCCAAATACATATTTCAGTATACTTATATCCGGAATTTAAAAGCAGCCTCGCACTGACATTTCTCCCGTGGCCCCATAAGAAGAGATCTTCTCCATCAACCCATATTTGCCCTGCATTTTTCCAGGGTAAGTGACAGAAGCAATCTCAGCACATGCAGTGCATTCAGCCTGCTCTGTTTACGAGCTGCACAAGTGCAGCACTGCGTCCCATTTGTTTATGTTCTCTTTTACTCTTACTGTGTCGGATGTAAGGATTTGTGCACAACGAACGTATAAAAGACTTAGTGTGAGTTTATAATTTATTCCCAGCTAGTTTCCATTCTTTCATTTTCACATTAAATTAACACAATGTTCATTCCAGCTGTAAAGAAACAAATTAGAAGCTAGTTTTTTCAGGGTTTTTAATTGATGTATGTACATCAGAAGACTATTTTTCTGTGGTGTTTTTCCACTTTTCATCTTATGAGAGTTGTTTAGTCTTGCTCTCTCTCTCTCTTTCCTGGCACAGATTCCCACTGGAGGCATGTACTTACAATATTTGACAACAGGATAAGATCACTGTCTGCTAAACGGAATTGCCAAGTGTATGAATCTGGGGCTATGGACTAATCACAAAGTTGAAAAGCAACAAAAGAAAATAAATAAAAATGCAGCACCGCCAAATTAATTTAGCCTCAGCATGCTGCCACTGCACACAGGAGAGAGTAAAGACTTTAGGGCTTGTGGAAGAGAAATATGGGCAAGAGAGAGAAAAGGAGGGAGGGGGGTGAGAGAATGGAAGATATTGGGAGAGAGAGAGAGAGTGTTGCTCCTTTTGTGTCTGTTCAGCATGAGACTGGGGAGAGGGCACCGGGGGGTCGTGCTTGTGTTTGTGTGTGTGTGTGTGTGTATGCATGTGTGTCATGAGAACCCTGCAGACGCTGTCGGTGGGGGTCTGAGACAAAGTTGAAAGAAGTGATTCCCTGTGTGTTCAGAGAAATAGCACACTCTTCATTAATTATGTATTTCTCCCATAGAAAGCCTGGCAAACTCATTCAGACACCCAGCACTAAGCCAGCTTCCTGTAGCCGTAAAGGAAAAGAGGATCACAACAATGGAATCAGAATGTGGAGAAAGTGACTTTGGAACATTTTAAAAGGCAGGTCATTGTAATCATTTTTCTAGAAATAAATAAAATACTGTCCTTTCACATATTTGTTCTTCGATATTCTTGTTGGAGATTTGTTGGAATTAAATGAGAGTTGTATATTGTGAGAGTTGTTTTAACATTAATGTAAAAAACACAATTTCTTATACTTTCGACTTTATTTCTCACATTTGCAATGTTTTATCTCATAATTTAACCTTTAATATCTTACAATATGACCATTTCGATAACACTTTTTACGGTTGCACTTTATTTGACAGTATTAGTGTAATACTGGGTAATATATGGTAACTGGTTTAGGTTCAGGGTTAGTAGTTATTACCCAGAAATTAATTAGTACAGTATGCACATGGGGAACAGTAAAATAAAGTGCTACCAACTTTACAATAAGGTCTCATTTGTTAAATAATAATTAATGCGTTCACCAACATTAAATAACAATGAACAATAATGATTCTTATAGCATTTAATGTTAGTTAAGAAAATGTTGATGTTCATTTTATAGTTCACAATGCATTAACCAATGTTAACAGAAACAAGTTATTATCTTAAAAATATATTAGTAAATGTTGAGATTAAGATCAATAAATGCTGTAGATGTATTTTTCATTGTGTTAGTTAATGTTAACTATTGCTTTTCGTTTTGTTTGAGAAAACGAACAGTATTTATATCGTTTTTACCTCTTTTAACCACAGCCATGTCCAAATGATGAGGATAAGACAAGAGGTAAAAACGATATAAATACCGTTCGTTTTCTCACACAAACCGCTCGTTTCGTGTCTTAGGCCATCAATGTATACTTACATTTACGAGTCATTAAATCATGTTTAATTTGGACTTCTCTCTGCATGCTCTTTGAGGTGGTGACCATAGACCTCCATTATATGACAGACAAGAACGGTTTGACCTAAAAACATCAAAATTGAAACTACTGCGGAAACAAAGACACTTACATCTTGGATGCCCTTGAGGTAAGCTAAAACATACCAAAAATTAATTTCAAAAAGTGAACTACCAGTATCACTTTAAAGCTTCATGAGTCATGAATCATGATTTCTAATCATGCATGTTCACAATAACAATAAAAATAATTTAAACTATGTTTGCATCTGATATACACATTTAGATGAAATATGCCATTTTCATTAACAGAGTTAAGCACTTAAATGAAATCTGTATATATATATATATATATATATATATATATATATATATATATAATATATATATATATATTATATTCTAATAGAAATATTTGCTTTTGAACACTTTGCATCTGTTTTATAAATGAGATCCTTGGCCTGCACTGAATCCTTTTATTATAATTATTTATTTATTTTTTTTACATAATGTTAAGGAAAATATCCTATTTGCAATAATAAGAAAAAAACTTTAAACTGTGTCACATGATTGAGTTGTGCAATGCAGATCCACCATGCAAAAGATGTTTTAAACCTCTGTGTACCAACTAGCTGGGGAATAAATGCTGAGAAGTTAGATTCTGCCTGGAGATGACATGTTTCATCACATCCCTGACATATTAAAGCCGTATAGAGGTTATTAGAGGCTAGAGTTTTCAAGAAAACTTGTGTGTGATTGTGCTGCAGTGCCCATAGCTGAAATATGCGTTGACTGCTGTTGTCCCCATATTTCTAATGTGAGTGGAAGAGCCCTTAAGCAAAAGTATTGTTATGTAATCAGTCTGTGCGATTGAAATCAACAGACCCACATTAATGGTTTGAACAAGATCTGGAGACACTCGTATGGACCTGTGTTTAAGAGACAGACTGAATAGTTGAATTGTTCATCAAAACTCTTGCAGACTGTTGGTGGTTCCAGTCATACACACTGATTACACAATGTTTTTGCCTTTCACAGAGCTTGAGTTTGAATGTTTTGTGTGGAAATGCATGTGAAGGAACTATCAAAACATGATAAACATCCTGATGATACAAATGGGAGTGACTGTCAAGTAAGTGACCCCCCCCAAAAAATAAAAGTATGAAATGTTGAAAAAAGAGATTTGAAAAAAAATTTTTTTGCTCACAATAGTAAATCTTTAAAATTCATATTATTAAATGTTTTACAATAATAAGTATTTATTTATATTTATTATTAATAAAAACAATTTTATTATTGCAAATATGAATTCATTAGTATTTGTATTAATTCATTACTATTAACTTAGTTTTGGTTTGATCAGTCTGTTTAATCACCTGTGTTCCTATTGTTATTGTTATGGTCTTGTTCAAATATAACTATTTTTGAACAGTAAGATTATTTTTTATATTAATAGGAAGTCCATAAAATAACTCAAATAAGACTAAAATCTGTCATGAAACATCATAAAGATTAACTCCAATAAGACAGATACCCATACACTTTCATATATCAATGAATGAGTATCAAAGGTGACTTCACTCATACAGTTATTAAAGCAGCTTACAGTACAGGGCTCTGTTGCAGCACTGATATGAGTATGCATTATTCATAAGCACTGAGCAAGTGTGTAAATTGCTTTAGCATGGGTGCATGTTGAAACGGTTTATGGTATATCTCTCCATGGCTAATGCTATAATAACCATATTGATTCCAACTGTTTTCAATTTTACACACACAGCGTCAGATTGCACATCCTTGCCATATCCTCTACAGAGCATATTACAATTTATCATCAGTGTTTATCGCACACTTGTCGCACTTTATAGCTCTTTGTGTACACCCTTTAAATTGTGCCATTTGCTATTGCAGCTTTACTCTTTCTTGTGAACTGGCGCACAAGACGTTTTTCGGAGATTGTGTGTGTGTACACTGGCCTTTCAGATTAGAGCCAGACTGTCATGCCATCACCTGCCCATAAATACTGTTAAAATCTCCAGTTGTAATGTAACAGTCTCTTTTACATGAACTGTCTGATACTTCTGCAGCAATTCAATGTGTGTGATTATTCTACTCTCAGAGTGAGACAAAAACACATTTTGGAAGAAAACTCATTATTAAAATTAAAATTTGTAACAAAAAAGATAGCCTACTGCACCAGCCGAATCACTCTCGGGGGTTACCGGCGCTTGTGCAGACCAAAGCGCCCCCCGCGCCCTCAGATCACTTGGACGTGGCTGTGGTTCAAGAGGTAAAAACGATATAAAAACTGTTCGTTTTCTCACACAAACCGCTCGTTTCGTGTCCATCAATGTGTACTTACATTTACGAGTCATTAAATAATTTTTAATTTGGACTTCTCTGTGCATGCTCTTTGAGGTGGTGACCATAGACCTCCATTATATGACTGACAGACAAGAACGGTTTGACCTAAAAACATCAAAATTGAAACTACTGCGGAAACAAAGACACCTACATCTTGGATGCCCTTGAGGTAAGCTAAAACATACCGAAAATAATTTAAAAGTGAACTATCCCTTTAATATTCCAGATTACTAAAAACCTGTTTTCTACCACTTTAAAAACACAGGTGGTGAAGAAAAAGCGAAGTGATAAAGTTCATCCACAAATAGCTTTTCCATAAGCTGAGGTAAATACTAGCATACAGGCCTCGAAGGTACCTCGAAGGTTAATGTCATACACACAAATTCACATCACATCATAACAAAACCCTAATAACTAATAAGAAGAAACATAGCCTAGTTATTTCATTGAAAAAACATCAAATGTGAACATCATTCTCACACAGAACAGTCTGGGAATGTCAATTTAAGTTTCTTTTCTCTGTAAATGATAAAATTCATTCTTTTTCACTTTCAAAAGCTGTTCATTTGACAGTATTTTACTTGAAATGTCCCATAAAGGCAGTTTTTAGTGAATTTACTGTTTTTACTGTAGTTTTTTTTTTACAGTTCTGATCATTTTTAGCTGGATGATGAGTGTTTCCCATCATATTGCCTGTGTAAGTGCCTACATAATCATTCAGCATGATGTGCAAACAATGTACGTCTGTGGTCAGATGGCCAACCTGTGGCCTTGTCCTCTGTGGCAGCATCCGAGCACACGGACCCCTGTTCCCCCCCTCTGCCTCTCTGACGCCTGTCCTTGAGGATAACCTGGCAAGGACGCCACTACCCACTGTTTCATGTCTAATTGGCAGCCCCTATACCCAGACCCAAGGTGAAACTGCAGCGTGTGCACGGTTTGATTTAAGAGAGGACCGTGGTTTTCATTTGTCATTGATTCTGTCCTTTGAGACGAGCGGAAGGGAAAGCAGGGCCAGATTGTGTGGGTGGCTGATTTCTCAGTGTCTTGTTCGTTGTGGACGTCTCAGCATGTTTGGACCGTTGCTGGCTTGCTGAGGTGACGCTCACGGGTGTTATTTCTGGATTCCATCGAATGCTTGATGCGTATCTGTTCTTAGCCCCCCGAGAGACACTTGTCAAAATGTCAAAAATAAGAAATTCTAAATTTGAGGTTGTGCTATTTTAATCTGTTTTATTTGACATCTTTCAGTGCCTTGACTTTATATCATGTCTGTCAGGTGCACAGCAGATTTGACTGAATGCAGGGGTATTTCTAGGATTTCAATCTCGATCTGCTTCCTGAACATGTGTTGATGGAGCTCAGAGGAATATGTCTTGCTTTAAATGTAAAAGGTGACAACTTTTATTAATATTAACATTTTTGCTGTTTGTACCATTCAAAAGTTTGGGATTGGTATTTTTTTAATTTTTTGTGCTCACTTCTTTTTTTTAATTATTGGTACACTGTAAAAAGAAATGTTGGTTTAACTTTAAAAAATGAAGTAACCTGGTTGCCTTAAAATTTAAAGTTCATTGAAATGGAAAAATTGAGTGAAGACAATGAAGGAGATTGATTTAATCATCAGAAACTCTTATGAATATATTATGTTATCTGAACTACATAAATGATTTTTGTTGATTTGAGAAGTCAATGTTGTGATTACAAATCATTAATTTTTACAGTGTGCTCAATTATTAATTTTTATTAATTAATTATTATTTTGAGGTATACGTCTTTTTTTAACATTATACTTTCAATTTTGATCAGTTTAATGCAAATTGGTGAAATAAAAATATTAAAACAATAAAAAAGAAATCTTGCTCTCAAACATGTTGAATGATAGTGTATCATGGTGTCTACCAAAAAAAGTTTTTAACATTGATAATAATAAGCTTATTTTTGTGAAAACATGCAATTTTCCAGATTCTTTTCAAATAAAAGTTTCAATTTCTTACAGCAGCATGCATCTTTGTATGTATTTATTTATTTCACTGTCACAAAAATTGCAATATATTTATTATAGAAAAAGGTACACCATCTTAAAATATTTCACAGGTATTATTATTATTTTTTTCATTTGCTTTGTCTTTACAAAGACAAAACGAAAGACAAATATTTTTTTTTCTTTCAATATATTTATTAACTTTTTTACCAACATATAAAACACACACACACCCAGAACAAAAATACAAAATACAGTATAGACACATATTGATGTCTTTCGCATCATTACAACTTAGCATATCTCAATTTGTACAGGATTCGCATCTTCAAGATTAATGAACATAAAAAAAAAAAAATAAAAAAAAACGCGTACAAACTATTAAGGCCTCCTAATACAAATATATCCTATAAACTCACATATCTTCAATTGTCTCTTTAAACAGGTCACTATCCTCTTTCTCTATGAATGATCGAAAGACAAATATTTAATTTTGAAAAAATGTTGACTTAAACTAGATATATAGATAGATATCACTGTAAAAAAATATTTTCATGATTAGTAATCACAACATTTTTTTCTTTTGTCAAATCAACTTAAATAATTTATTTAGTTCAGATAACATATAATTTTGAGTTTCTGATGATTAAATCATTCTCCTTCGTTTTATTAACTCACTTTTTCCATTTCAATGAACTTAAAATTTTAAGGCAACCTACTTTTTGTAAGTTAAACCAACAATATTTTTCACAGATCTATCTATCTATCTATCTATCTATCTATCTATCTATCTATCTATCTATCTATCTATCTATCTATCTATCTATCTATCTATCTATCTATCTATCTATCTATCTATCTATCTATCTATCTATCTATCTATCTATCTATCTATCTATCTATCTATCTATCTATCTATCTATCTATCTATCTATCTATCTATCTATCTATCTATCTAGTCATATGACTCAAGAAAAACAGTTTCAGTTGTTTCCCCCTCCTAATGTAATTAATTAATTTCAAGATGCAGTGAATCCATATCTGATTGTCCTTTCATTACAATAATGTGTTTGGTGCCCATATTGTGTCAGATCTAAGTGTTGATGTGTTTATTGGTAAAAGCTGCCGAGGAATGACAGAGTGAGCTGCCACAGAAGAATCTGCAGAGGTCAAAGTCTGTCTGCGATCCAGGGGCTGTTTCTGCTGACTCCAGCTTTTCAATGGTGCTACTTACAGGCTCCGCAGACGGCAGAAAAAACAGCTCAGACGGGAGGGGGAGAGGCTCCTTTCATTAACTCTCTATTCATATGAATTTATTAATCTCATGCTGTTTCTGCAGCTTAACTAAAAGAAGCCGTGATACCGGCACTTTTCATCCATCTGCTGGTGGAGAGAGAGAGAGAGGAAGGAAGGGAAAAGAGAGGGAAAGAGAGCGACGTGATTTCTAATAGTGCTGAAACGGCAAAAGACTGCAAGTGTGTCACATTATTTAGCGGCAGAGATGTTCAGTTGTGTGTTGCTGGCTGGGAGAGGCAGAACACCCCTCCTCGCATCAGGTGCACAACAAAAGCATCTGTCATGTCTGCATTTGTGTACTGGGGAATGTTCCTGCTAATCTCCTGTGTGTTCAACAGTGCTTTCCAGTCTTGCAGGCCTGGCCTCAACTGTGTACCATGGCGGTATCACAAAAGCAATCCAGGCCCCTAATGCTAAGTAATAGGCCCAGATGGAATCTGCAGACTATTTTATTCAGACTTTCTGCAGAGAAAACTCTACTACAACATGATAAAATGAGTAAAAAAGATACAATAATACACTCCTATTTGTAAAACAGGGTCAATAACATGATGTTAATCTTTTCCAGTCTATTAATTTATTTAAAAAAGAAAAACATTTTAACGGTAAAAATAATCATTTTAACGGTAAAAGACTGCTGCAGTACAAAACTGTTAATTGGTTAACAACGTTTCCGTACTATATAAATAACTGTGATAGATCTAATTTTACTGTAAAATACCAATAATTTAAAAAAAGGAACAACTCATTGTATAATTTACAGTGAAAAAACGTAAATTGACATTCCCACAATTCCCTGTGTGACACTTCACATTTTACGTATTTTTTCTCTAATCAGTTATGTTACATTTAATGTTGTTAAATTAATGTTTATTGCATTTTTTTTTACATTTCATTTGTGTTACCATGTTGGTGTTTAATGTTTGTGTGAATGACACTGTGCAGCTTATATATAAGCATTGAAATACGGTGTAAATTTTATTGAAGTCTGTAAAACCAATAACGTTGCTACCGTATTTTTAATGGTAAAGTTCTGGCAACCACAGCAGCCGTTTTTTACTGTTAAAATTACAGTTTTATTTTTTTTTACAGTGTATTATTTCTTAGAAAACAACATATTTTAACAAAACCATGAATCAGTTCAGGTTATAAAATATCATGGTTCGTGACTCCCCTAAATATTAATGATATAGGGCCTATGAATTAGGCTACTAATTCATGATATTAGTAGCCTATATAGGCTACTTCTTTTCAAAAGTTGGAGGTGGGTGAATGAATCGCATCACTCAAAATAGCAACCCTTTTCTGCGGTCGAGACCTCACGGGCGAGTGGCCCATGTCCCGCGAAAACCATCCCGACAGATTTAAAATATGTATAGGCTTACCATATTGACCTACTGATTCAGGGTTAGACAAAAAAAGTTTTGGAATAAGGATTGGTTCATTATTTAAATTTTGTATAGTTTTTAAACAAATACCTATAGTGATAAAATGACTAGTTTTAATGACTGTTCTAGTTTTAAAATGTCATTTTTCCTGTGATGCAAAGCTGAATTTTCAGCATCATTACTCCAGTCTTCAGTGTCACATGATCCTTCAGAAATCATTCTGATTTGCTGCTCAAGAAACATTTCTTATTATCAATGTGGAAATCTTTTTGAGCAAACTATGGATACATATTTTTTTTTTCAGAATTCTTTAAGGAATGTTAAATTGGCTGAAGATTTTTAATAGTATTGTATTCAAGCAGAGTGTAAGGGATACACTCGCATTCAAGGTGTAAGAATTTTATTTTATTTTATTAATAAACAAACAAGAGGCTGTAGAACATTTTGATGCTGTTGTGAAGCATTTATCAAGTGAGATATATAAGTGAGAATATAAGCTATGTTTTTTTTTTCTTTCCTTAGAGCAACAAAGGAGAAGGCTTTCCCAGAGTTCATCTGAAAAGGTATTGAGCTTGACTGACACAATCTTACACGGTTCAGGGGAAGTTTATGGTTGGATGCAGCCTCCGTCTGTGGTCAGCAAGTCCTCTCTCTGCAAACAGAAACAGCAGATGAGAGGGGCAGAGATTCTTGTTCAATCCTTCAGTGTTTCTAAACAAGGACATCCAGCAGAGAACTCAGCCAGAGCCACAATTACCCCCTAAATGACCCATTCAGTGGTTTGAAGCTCTTACCAAAATAACCGTGAACCCTTACTGTGTACTCTGGTTCAGCTTGAAGAGCTAACAGGGTATTAGGCTACATGATTGCAGTGGTGGAAGAGCAGAGAGGTCCTTACACACTCCTCGTTCAGGGTGTCTCTTGCTGATCCACACCGGATGATGGGATGGGACAGGAACCAAAATCAAGCATCGTGTTTAAGCACCTTCATGAGTTCAACATTTTTTCTGCAGAATTTGACCAAAATGTAAGTTATTAGACTTACATTGAGAATAGAATAATTATTTCAAGTGAATTTCTTTTTTTCCTACATATAGCCTACACTAAAAGTTTGGAATAAGTAAGATTTTTTTTTATGTTTTGAAAGAGGTCTCATATGCTCAAGGTTGTTTTATTTCATTAAAAATACAATAAAAACAGTAATATTGTGAAAAGTATTACAATTTGAAAGAACTGTTTTGTATTACGATGTTACAAAAATTGATTCCTGATAAAAAAAAGAAGCTTGTTAACTAAAAGTTTTCAGCACTAACCATTAGCAATAATTGAGTACCAATCATAATTGATAACCAAATAATTGGCATAATTGAGCACCAAATCAGTGAATTAGAATGATTTCTGAAGGGTCATGTGACACTGAAGACTGGAGTAATGATACTGAAAATTTAGGTTTACCATCACATGAATAAATTTCATTTTAAAATATTTGACCCTCAAATCGGATTCACTTTATAGCCCTTAATACTGTAATTGGGGACAAATGTGGGCACAGAGGACTCAGATGTGAACCTAATTTTTATTTATTATAAATGTAATATCACTGTCTTCGATAAAGTTTTGTCTATCCATTTATGGTGTGTTTTTTTATTTTGGGGGTATTTTTGTATTTATTTATTTACTTCAAAAAGTATCATATTTTCTATGTAATTTATTTCTATGTAAATGAATTACTATGTAGTTTTATTAATTGTTTAATTTATTTAACTACATTAAAATATCATTCCAATAATTTCTTAGAGCTAAAACCTAAAGATGAAGTGACTTTGCCGTCACCTGGTGTCTTATTTTGGCTTATTTTAGAATGCTCTAAATTACAGTTTTTCCCATTCATTTCTATGGGTGCCCATTTTTGACCCAAATGCAAGAAATAAGGAGTTTTTTTTCCACCCACTTAACATTGTAGAATTGAGTCAAAAAATTTTGTGTGTGTTCAGGAGGCAAACTTAGGAAAAGTAGCCAAGTCTTGTACCGCTCAGATCAAGGGAAGTATTTTTTTTTTTTAAATATGTTTTTTTTTAATACGGTTTAAATTATAATAGCCTAATATTTCACAATTTAATTATTTTTGGGCAAATAATGCAGCCTTGGTGAGACACTTCTTTCAAAAACATAAAAAAAAATCTTAATTATTCCAAACTTTTGACCAGTTATGGTAATATTAATGAATGTTAATATTACGTTTTGTACAATTTTGATACTGTGTTGGCTCGCCACTTGATGTCCATGTGTTTGTGAATGCATATCTGCATATATTCACGTGTGTGTGTGACCTAAAAGAAGCAGCTAGACTACTTCTGTATTTACACGAATTACCCTTTTTGAACCTCTGAATCCCTCCTTGACTCCACTTTTGCTGAAAGGAGCAGGAAGGATATCACCACTTAGCCTGTGTAAACAGCAGGTCTGCTGTTGAACTGTGGCCCTGCAACTACTATTGACACACATTCCACTGACCACTGATGAGTCCCGTGTCTGCTAGCGGCGTGTCTTACATGCCCTGTGCGGCAATGTGTGAAAGTGTGTGTGAGTGTGTGGCCATCAGACAAACTTTAAAAGGAACCTGCCAGGAAAGTGGGGAACATTTTATTTTTTAAGGTATTTTTATGTATGACAGAGATACAGAGAATATGTGAGAGTGTGTGTGAGAGAGATGTGCATTTCACGCTTTGACAGATCTATTGTGTGTGTGTGTGACCTTGTAAATCAATGCAGGCATCAATACATCCTTTCCCGTTCCCATCAAAAGCCTTCAAAATTTTACCGCTGACAAATATGCATTATGTAAAGTAAAAAGTGTTTAATCTAGTGGAGATATCATTTGAATATTAGTACAAATCTATAGACCAAACGTAAATCATGTAAAGCACCGGTGTGGCTAATAGGTTTGTGTACTCATCAATGAAGTTTTCATTTTCTAAATGCACTTCAGCCCCACTACCATTAGAAAAGCAGCGAATGATGCTGGCATCTGATTGTTATATCCATGGGAATACATCTCACTTAAACTCTTGAGTGAAAGTAATCTCATTCAGCCAGCTGCGTGTCTAACTACGCCTGACATTCCACTGTGTATTATATTTCTTTTTGATAGTCCTCTTCACACACAAAAAAATGCGGCTCTTGTCGTGGAATCATAAAAATGCAAGGACACAAGTCCCTCACTAGCTTGTGCACCTATTATGCTTGACCACTTACATTTATACATTTCCAATTTCTGATTGATGAGTTGTTGTTTTTGTGGTTTTATAATTACCACTGTTTTGTATACATGTATAAATAAACATTTATTCCAGAGCCATATAAAGAAGTAACTGATTGATTTATGTTGTAAAAGTATTATCATAAAAGGAAATGCATATATTTATGGTTGATACTTTTCACTCACAATTGCCTGTTGGTAAAATATTAAATGATGTTACTGTTGCAGTTTTCTATTTAGCCTATTTTAGTTTATTGAAAATGTGACCAGGAATAAAACAAATCTTTAAAAAAAAGTTTTTTTTTTATTGTATTATTATTAGGGCTGTCAAATGATTAATCACATCCAAAATAAAAGTTTTTGTTTACATGATATATGTGGGTGCACTGTGTATAATTATTTTGTATGTAACTACACACACATGCATTATTATTATTTATAATATGTATATTTATATATAATAGAAATTATATATAAGTCTATATACATGGAAATATTCCTCAAATATATACCAGCATGTGTGTGTATTATATATATATATATATATATAATTATACGCAGTGCACCCACATATATCATGTAAACAAAAACTTTTATTTTGGATGCGATTAATCACGATAAATCATTTGACAGCCCTAATTATTACATTTAAAGACATGTAAATTTACTACAATAATTTACCAAAATTATTGGCATTAAAAAATAGGTTAAATTACCACTAGGTGGCGCAGGTTGAAAGTCTGCCAGTTGTAATTTGTATCTGCTCAGTGACTCCCCTAGCGGCAGTGCCCGTCATTTACAGTGTTGTTACGCCCCTCATGACCGCCGAGCAGCCAATGGGCTCCGGGAGGCAGAGTTCTCCCTGTGGCCGCCATTAGAGAAAGGAATCCATGAATTCAAATGGAAACCAGCAGGAACACAGACCTTTTACGCTTTTAAATGAAAATGAGCCATTTAATGTAGTTTCTCGTCACCTTTCGACGCTTTTAACGCGGAATGTTTTTCGTTTTTAAAGCGCTTTCGGTGGGGATGGAGGCATAAGAGAGCCGTTTTTAAGCTAAAACCGTTTTTAAGCCAAGGGGGAGGGGGGGAGAGTTGCCTCTTTTTGCTCTCCCTTTTCTTTTTCTATTTTAATAACACATTCCTCTATCTTTACATGTAATCTATCCACCCACAGCCTCGTCGACGGTTGAGACCGTTCTTTTTTTTATTCTAATTTGGGCTGAACGCGGGAGGCGCGAGCGATCGAATGGGGCTGTTGAATTCCATTCCCCCACCGATTGTTTAAAAATAATTCCGTTCACATTCGACTCGAATTCGGAGAAACGTTCTTTTTTTCCATGGAAAGCCCGATGGTGGGATGTTCGAGCGCGCAGTGAAAGGATGAGTTCTTGTTTCGTACCGAACGGGGCCAGCTTGGAGGACTGCCATTCCAATCTATTCTATCTGGTAAGAGATTTAAAAACTAAAAGGAAAAAGCAGCCATTTTTAGCTACCTAGCATGCTAACATCAGCCCCAGTGGAGAGAGAGAGCGAGCAGGATCAGGGCCCAGTGTATGTGTGTGATTCAAACACACATTGCTTGTTTATTTGCTTGTTTCTTAAGAGATTACATGTTTGTAGTATTTTGCACCAGATGGCTTAACGCAAAACGACTGTGTGTTTTGATTTGCTGTGTTTGTAAATTGCGCGCAGGGAAGAGAGTTGGCAGAATGAAAGTTGAAGTTTCATTTTAACAGCACTTTTTTGTGTGCAAGTTACGTTACAAATTGCACTGCTGTCTTTTAAAATATATTATTGTAAGAAATGTGTAAAACAAAGCCTTTTAGACTTCAGTTCTAACTCCATGTTCTTATGGTCGGTGGTGTTTACATGAATGTTTACACACTAAGTTACTCTACAGGCTTATTTTGGGTCATTCCACGAAATGGTGTTTTAATGTCTCTCATGTGTTTAACAATGCAAACCTGACACCAGATTTAAAATATTTGTTTAAACACGTAAAAAACTCTATTTTTAATCTCTATTGCATGTGTTTCCAACTTCTTGCTGCTTTATCAAATACATATTTATGCTAATATAGTATTTTGTAACTTGCATTTTCTTTTCCTATAATTAAAAATATAGTGGTCAAAGTCTTTTTAAAAAAAAAAAATGCCATCACATTTCAAGTTGTCAACTTTCCATCATAACTTCAGCTTATTAAAAGTATGTGCAGTTCCATAACTCTAATGACTGTCATAATGACATCATTATTTCAGTATGTTATGTTTGCCTGCAGATTATTGAAAACTGAATGTTTGTAGAAATATCTGCATTAAATTCTACTTTCTAATAACAAACACTGTTATGTAATGACCTTGAGCCAATGGCTAAAATAACCTAAAAACTATAAATTCCAACATATATTAAAGATGACAGTGCAGTTCGTAAACACTTAAATATGTTTATGAAGAGTCAATCAAAATCTTACAGAAATTGACTTGCAGAAATCACGCTTTCAGAATAAAAATCCAGCCTTTTCATGGAATGGCCCTTTATTGACGGATTTGGTGTGTTTGCAATAATCATGTGAGCCATGCATCAGTTGTTTGACTCAAAATAACCAGTGTTGGGTTTGGGGTTTACCTCATGTCTGCAATAAGAGACATTGGGGTTTGAAATAGATTGGGCATTCCTGGAGCCTGCAGGGTTGTTTACGGCACTTTCTGCTCCCTAAACGCACGTGCACACACTCGTACACACACACTGGTGTCCCGTTGACTTATATTGTTGTTAGATTAAGCTAATTTTAAGTGCTATGGACCAGCGCTGTATTTTTAGATTTGACAACA